GGTGGCGGCGGGGGAGAAGAGAAAATAGGCTTGGGACCGATGAGCGGAGAGCAGGCTCGATACAAGAAAAAAAATGGAGGGGTTGACACAAAAGGGCAACGGCAACGGCAGCGGCAGTCGCGAGCGAGTGACGACACGCGAGAGGGAGAACCCAGACGAGGAGCCGCGAAATGCACGCAAGCGCGCAATGGAGGAAGGGAGGGACGAGGCTAGTTATCAGTTATGCGATGCGACTCCGCCGCGGTTGCGACTGAATTGCACGCACGTAACGAAAACCAACAAGATGATGCAAACACGCCAACAAGCCCCCAGGGCAGAGCCGGGGGGTCCAACAAGACGGGGTAACCCTCAGCAGTTGGCCATGGCAGAGGTTATGTCAACGATGGTTGCCGGGCTGGAGAAAAGAGCTCACGCCGGGAAAATGGCCAGCGGGGAAGAGGGGCTGAACGTGGCGCTGCCCTTTAAGTTATGAGGACGGAGAGACGTGTGTGTGTGTGTGTGTGTGCGAGTTATCTTTCTCTCTCTTGATGTAATGCCAATGGGAATCACGATCAGGGGCCAAGGGTGGAAAGTGGCAGACGGGGGCAGGGGGAGGGTGTTGACGTAACTGCAAGTGGTGGAGGAGAGGAGGAGGTGGAGGCAAAGAGGGTGACAGGACGCGGCAGGGAAACTGATCTGACCCGAGAGCGAGCGTAAATGCAGGGCAATGCAACTCCACTGCAACAAGAGCACACACACACACAGAAGCCGTCACACAGAGACAGAGAGAGAGAGAGGGAGTTATGCAAACCACCACTACTGTCCTGTGCTTCTCCTTCCTTGGAGTACGTATGGTGTGCAAGAGCAGAGAGCGTCCAGGTAAACAGGCATGGCCATGCACGCGCTCTTTGTATACAGGTGTGTGTGTGTGTGTGTGTACATGGCTCGCCTGGAGGGGCCCTGGGCGCTGCCGTTTCAACACCCTTGCGTTTGTATTTCCCTCGGCTGGCGTCCCGAGTTGGCTTGGGAGAGCTATGGGGGACGTGGTGGGCGCTTGGTATCAGCTGGGGGACGCTATGGCAAACTCGCGTGCGGTTACGTGTGCACTGGCGTCCGGAATTGGTAACTCTTGCAACGCGAAAGGGGGGAGATACTATAATAAGGCGATCTTGAAATGCTAAAATAAGAGTATCTGTTGCATCCATAAATAGAATCGGGCCAACGTCAGCATGTTGGCTGGCTTGCATCAGCGGCCAACGATCGTCGCAGAACAAAAGAAGGAAAAACGCACGACACGTGACTTTTTGTTTTTTTTTCCTTTTTTTTGACGTGTGTCTGGGCGAAGCTTGCATACCTTTCCCTTACCTTTTTCCCTTACCTTTTTTCCCGCTCACCTTACCCCTCCTGACCTGACCGTTCCCTTACCCCTCCTTTACCTCACCATCAAGCCTTACCCTTTCCGTTAACAAACTTGTGTGTTCTCTCTCTCTCTTGTCTCTCTCTGTTGTCTCTCTCTCTCTCTGTGTGTGCTCGTGGTCTCTCTGCTCTTGAGGGTGTGTGTGTGTGTACTCGTGTGCGGCGAGGTCAGCGTTGGCACATTGTTGTTGTCGGGGGCAGTTGGACCTGGGGCTGGTGCGCTGCATTCGCTTTGTCGGCAAGCATTGAGGGAGTGATTCAAGTTGGTGGTGTTCAAAGGTACGGTCATGTGCCGTTGCTAGACCGTCTGGCGCTGGAACGTCACCCTCAACCGCGCTGCCACCGTGACAGTCCACCCACCACACAAGCACGATCAATCGTCGTGCGCGACCCCATGGTGTCTGCTCACGCAGTTGTTGTTCCTCCTCCTGCGCCTGCTCCTCCCGCTTCAGATACTTGCCCGGCACCATGAAGATTTGCATCGATCAAGAGTGGTATGACCTCACCAAGTGGGCCAAGTACCACCCCGGTGGTACGTGCGCTTGGCTACACCGCTTGCGCGCCTTGCTTTTTTTTTGATCCATTACTCCCTCGACCGTCTCATGCCTTTTTTGCATTCCTTGCAACGCTGTACTTGATGCTCAGGCGTTCGCATCCTCGAGCGCTTTGACAATCAGGTACCGCTGCCTCGCCTGACTCGTATCTTCTTTGCCTTTGGTTGTGGGCACGCGTTCATCCGGGGTGGTGGTCAGGTCCCCTCGCCCACCACAAGCGACATGCTGCTGCCCTCACCATCAGTTTTCTGCTCCCCATCACTAGGATGCGACCGACCACTTTTACTCGTTGCACAGCACCGATGCCATCCGCAAGTTCAAGGCCATGCGCCCCACCGAGACCAAGGAGGACGTACCTGAAGTGCTTCCCATTGATGCCTGTCAGTTGCCTCTCCCCCGCCCCCCGCCCCTCGCCTCGCCTGCCGGTCGTTTCTGTGTTTCTTGTGACTCTTTTGAAGTCTCCGCCTTGGCCGCTGTCCTCATCCACATTTGCCACCCTGCATGCAACCTTTCGTAGCCTTTCGCGAGCTGCGCGCCAAGCTCATGGACGATGGCTGGTGGGATCGCGACCTCCTCACCGAACTCGGCATCTTGATCCCCATCTTCGCCATGTGCATCATTGGCACCGCCCTCGCCTGGTCCCACCCTGTCATCTCCGTCCTTCTTATCAGCGTTGGCATGCAGCAAGCTGGCTGGCTCGGTCACGACATGACTCACGCCCGTGACTCGCGCTACAACGACTTTTGGCTTCGCTACGTCAGTGGCTGGCTCAACGGCTTTGATCGCAACTGGTGGTCCAACAAGCACAACACCCACCATGTCCTCACCAACCACGTCAACCACGACCCTGACATTCACGTCCAGCCCATCCTCTACCTCTGGGCCCCCTTGAAGCAGATGGACCACTTCCTCCGCAAATACCAGTACATCTACTTTCCCCTCCCTTACACCCTCCTCTTCGCTTCCTGGCGCCTTGAATCCCTGAAGTGGTCCATCGCGAACCGCGACTACAAAATGTTCTTCCTTGCCATCCTGCCCGGCTATGTTTGGCTCGCTCTCCTGCCCTTTAAGGTCGTTCTCGCCAGCATCCTTGTTTCCGGCTTCCTCGTCGCCATTGTTGTCACCATGTCCCATGAATCGGAGGAGCTCCTCCTTGAGCGCGAACCCAGCTACGTCACCAATCAGTTCCTCACCACCCGCGACGTCCAGTGCCTCGACTGGGTCACCGAGTACCTCTTTGGTGGCATGCAGTACCAGCTTGAGCATCACCTCTTTCCCACCATGCCCCGCTACAAGTACCGTGCCCTCGTTCCCATTGTCAGGCAATGGGCCAAGGCCAACGGCCTTGTGTACAAGAGCGACACCCTTCCCGTCATGCTCGGTGAGCATGTGGCTACCCTCAAGAAGGCGGGCGAGATGGCCCATCGCGAGGACACCGTTGATCCCTACGCCCTTTCTTAAAAGGCGGGACATTGACCTGCCCAAGCCTTGACATGCCTGCTCCACTCACTCGCATCAGCTGGTGCGGGTGGTTGTGCTTGTGGTCAACCCTTTTGATGTACCGTGCGTTCTTGTGCCATGGACGCCTGCCCCGGCCTCCTGTTCGGTTGGGTTTGTTGTCATTGTGAATCTCTTTGTTTTCTTCCCGTTCTTCCTTCTTAGGCCATACCGAGTCCCCTCTGCCCTGTTTTCCCACCATTCATTTTTTTTTTCCCGAGTATCGTTGTTTTCTCGCTATATGCCCCTACCTCCTCTCCGCTCCTACTTGTCTTGAGGTGATGTCGAGTTTTTTTCTCTTTCTGTTTTCGTTTTTGTCTCGTCTTCTAGCCACGCACTGCCGTGTGCTTGCGTTTATTGTTTCTCGGCCAGACTGCCGTGTTTTCTTTTCTCCTTTGTCTACTCCTCCCTCTCTCTGTTTTCCTCTGTCTGGAGATGAGCCAGATCATGTCCTACCCTGTGTTCTCCTGTTGGACAGGCCGCGCGTGTATGCGACATGTTCCTTCCTTCATGGGCTAAAAAAATCGATCCATGTCTGTAGCGGCTTGTTGCTGTCCCATAACGTCAGTTTTTCAAGTCTAAAAGGAAGCAGCTCAAGGTGCTTGAGCGCTGCAACACGCGGAGCACGGCCTCAAAGTCAACCCAAGCTCAATTGAATACTGGAAGGGCGCAACATCGTGTTGAATATGAACATAACATGATGCCACACACAAAAGGTACCCAAGCAAAGGGGACAGGGAATACAGACATGCAAACACTACCACAACGCTCTCTCTTGGCGTGATCCAACCAATCAACGATGACAAACAGTCAACCGACTCGCGTCAGGACAAAGGCTCATAGATGTTCCATTTCCACCAAGTTGAGCAGCAAAAGCTTGAACCTAAGCACGGTGTAAACTTCATGAGGGACAAAGCATGTTGTACCACACGTTTTTCCCAACCGGGCGCCCAGGACGCGAACGACGGGGAACATACCACACAGTGGTTGGCTCGTCGGCGAAGCGCATGCAAAAGTCCCGGCATACATCGTAGACACTCTTGTCAATGAAGCGGCGGGTGGGTGTGGAGGTCTACGAATGAGTAGCACCAGAGCCGAGGCAAAAAGTGGAATGTTAGGTCATGAGCAGATGTAAAACAAGACGTGTTGGTGGGTCGCTGCGGCAAAGCAAGACATGTCAACTCACATCGTCAATACAGGCATGCCACACATCGGTGACAAGTGCCTGACTGTGTGTGCTTATCAAGGGCACAGGCGTACAGGATTGATACCACCAACTAAATGATATGATAGAAAGCATCAGCTGACCAAGGGCTGGACAATGCGGTTGCGGAGAATGATAGGACTTACATGCGGAATTGAGGCCAGGAGACTCCATCCACGCTACCAGCATGGCATAGCGCGTGAAAGACGGTGTCCGTCTCATCGCGCGTCATAAACAAGTCCTATTCAAGTACCAGACAGGGTGTCGCATAAGAGCGGCCGGCGGGCTTCTTGGGGTTTGCGTTCGTGCGAAGAGTGCCCGTGGCTTTATTGATCGGCAGAGCCAAACAGGGCTGGGCCTTGCAGCCATGGCAGCGCAAGGTGGAAAAAAACAAAAAGGCCTGCAAGCTAAAAGGCGGGCCGGGTAGCTACAAAGCACACGCGACGAGAGGCCCACCTGTTGCAGACACAAGAGGCGAAATTGTTGAACAGAGAGTTCACCCGTCGCAGAGCCTGTGAGATACTGGAAGTACTCGAGGGCGCTAATGTCTGTACCATCGTCCTCGACAGAGCGTGAGGTGCGAGCGCTTTGGGCTGCACAGCCCAACAGCGAGCTTCGCCGTATGCCCCGAGGTGCTGTCGCCGGCGCATCATCGAGGTGATCCAGCACGGTTGGATGGTTTAAGATAAAGGCAACGACATTGTTGCCCGAGCTATCCAATTTGCCACGCAAGAGCCAGGGTCAAGACGAGGCAGGTTACAAGAGCTATCCTACACTTAAAGCTCAAGTCGAGTCCCCACCCCCCCACACACAAAAAGCCTTGGGGCATGCTTACGTGGGACGCTGAAGCTGTGCCAATGTCACGTTGCTCTTTGGACGCCGTAAGGACAGGCGCGGGCCCGGCGCGGATACCATGGTCGGCCCGAACACGGTCGCCAAATTCTCAGCCGTCATTTTGTTGCGCTCGGCCGACTCCATAATCTAGTAGATAGACGTGGCCAGTCCCAGGGGTCAGCGCTCAGTTAAGTTTGACACCACGCCAAACAGACATATGGGAAGCGGAGAGCTCCCGTCGTGGGAAGCTTTGTGAGCTTGATTGAAGCCCTTACACCACGATATCACACCTTGAGCATGTGCCGAAAGAGTAAGAGGGCCGTCTGTTTACGAGGCTCTGAGAGATCTTGCAGCGCCTCGATGAGATCGCCAACCTTTTCATCGTCTGGCCGCTCAGAATCAGCCACAATGGCAATGAGCTGTCCCTGCAGCCTGCGGGGCAGCCAGTGAATGAACACAGGCGATGCGCTTGACCAAGCATCACACGGCATTAACACATGATCCCTGAGGTCCCTGCGAGGACATACTCGTGACTCAACACGGGCTCTGGGAGTGCACGCAAGTAAGCTTTGAGAAGAGATGCCACGTTGTTGATGTGTTGGCCGTTGTCAAGCTGGCAGAGGGACAACGCGCCGGGTCGGGGTGAGGAAAAGGGCGATGAAGTTGCTCTTTTGCTTTTGATGATGAGCGTCAGCAGACAAACCCGAAAGGTTGCCGGCTCCAGTTCACAAGCGGCCCGCAAATCGTCAACGACGGATTGTGATCCCGGCACACGATAAATGCCCTCAGACTCGGTGCCATGCAGGTCGATAAACTCGCAGCACTCGCGGATAATATGTGGAATATTGTTGTTCTCCCGCTTGCAAACCTGAGCAAAGCACATGAGGGCGGTCGTGATTTGGCAGGAATGGCAAGGAACCGATCACGTGAGGGGCACGTGGCCTGGCTGCTTGGTCCACACCCCGACTGGGAGCGTACCGTTTCCAGGGGTGACCCAAACAGGACCTGCGGGACTTGGAGTGTGACCACCAAACGGGCTTCCCCCGAAGGCTTGAGAGGCAGGACGGCTACCGGCCATAAAAGACAACCGCCCATGAGGGATACGACACCCAAGCAAAACAAAGGCGCTCAGCAGCAGTCGTTGAAACGAGCGGCAATTGAGGGAAAAGGATATCGGTGGGCATACCGGTGGTAGATTTATCCGAGTGATGGTCGTGATCCAGGAGAGCATTGAGATGAAGGGTACCTCGGCCAACGACCTCGTTCTTGGAGCGTACGGTGATGACGAGGTCGTGGGTCTTGCTGACCTCGTGAAAAACCAGGACCTCGCCCCAAAAGGCCACGGTGCCGGCCAGGCGTGCGGGCTGGGACCGCGCCGATTTGGGCTCGCAAGGCGGAGACATCTGCAAGGAGTCACGACACAGACGCGTTCAGTGGCCGCACGGGAAGGGACAGAAGACGTGTGAGGCATCAGGTCCTCAAAGGCGCCACCAGCTAGGGTCTTTGCAAAGTGAGGTGCAAAAGCATGTGCGATTCCTTACTTTCACTGTCATGGTCAGCATGAGGTTTTGCTCAGTGGCATCGGGGAGCGACAGGACCTTGATACCTTTCACGCTCAGCAGCTTGACGGCCAGTTTGGGTGGTCGAGGGAGGCTACCCGCTTTGTATGAGCGCACTAGGCTCATGATGGAGGTGCGGGTGGCTCTGGGAGCGGCATAGGAAATGCAGCGCTATCACAGTGGGACCACAATGCCTGGGCTCATCCACCAGGCGCCATGACGCGGGGGAATGGCAGGAATCGGGCCGATGCGCCACGGAGAGCCGGAACCGGAGTCACGCGCTCAGCAGCGCCCTGGCAAAAGGCTCAGCCAGGCGACGATCCACAATCGCGGCGGGCGTAACTGGCAAGTCAGGGGCCACTCAAAGTCGGGCTCCTCATGCGTGTATGACGAAGGTTTGAGCGCTCCCGTTGGGCCACCTAGACCCCAAGACGCCAAGTCATGTGCCCATCCAATCTGCACACCACGCCCAACAGCGCCTCTCCACCCGTCCACCCGTCCGTTCGTCCGTTCTCCCGTTCTTCTGAGTGACCCTCGTCAGCTCGTCAGCGACAACACGCGTCTCTCTCTCCTCTCTCGAATCTGTGTCTGCTTTGATTTTTGTTCTCTCTGTCTCTGTCTCTGTCTCTCTGTCTCTGTCTCTCTCTCTCTGTCTCTGTCTCTGTCTCTGTCTCTGTCTCTGTCTCTGTCTCTGTCTCTCTGTCTCTCTCTGTCTCTCCTCTCTCTCCTCTCTCTCCTCTCTCTCTGTCTCTGTCTCTCTCTGTCTCTCTGTCTCTCTCTCTCTTTGTGCGTCTCTCTCTGTGTATGCGTCTTTGTTTTGCTCGAGCTGCAGTTGCGAGAGTGTAAAAGTTCTTACACTTTCGCTTCGCATCGTTTTGAACACTCCAGTTTCTCTCTCTCTCTCTCTCTCTCACTTCGTCAAGAACGCGGAGATGGCAGCGATGAAGCTGGCGGTCGTGCTGGGGGCCTTGTTGGCTCTCACAGGCAATTTAGTGGCTGGTTTGAGTCGAATGGACCATGGTTTGCACTTGCACTTGTATGGCAAGCCCATGCCGCGTCCTCGTGGTCAGACGTCGGTGGCGGCGCAGTGGTACGTTGAGGATGGATCATCGTCTGGCCTCACCTTTCCCCTTGCCTCGCACGGCGCAACACGTGGTCATGCTGACGCGCGGCTTGGGCTACAGGTTCGACCAAACCCTGGACCACTTCAACCCCCAGGACACACGTACCTTCAAGCAGCAGTACCAGGTGAACAGGACGTTTTACAAGGCTGGCGGACCTCTGTTCCTCATGTTGGGTGGGGAAGGTCCTGCATCTCCCGAATGGCTCGAGACCAACACGGCCATTATGCTGTACGCCCAGCAGCTCAATGCAGTTGTGGCTCAGATTGAGCACCGGTGCGTCTTGTCCAACCCGTTGGCATTTCGTGTTTGTTTCCAGCACCCCTGCTGCTTCGCGGCATCGTCGTCGGCCCTGACGGCCTTGTTTCGGTGCCAGCGTAGTTTTTATGGCGAGTCACAGCCCTTTGAGGACTTGAGCGTTGACAATCTTCGCTATCTCTCCAGCGAGCAGGTATATGCTTGGGGGGGACTGCAGGCTTACATAAAGGTGGTTTTGATGCGAGGTTGGGGGTTGCAGGCTTGTCCCTCCCTCACCAATTGTGGGCTTGGCTCCCTAGGCTCTGGCGGATGCAGCCAACTTTATCCAGTCTTTCCTGGAGATGAACGGCATGCCGGCAGACACGCGGGTGGTCTCCTTTGGAGGCTCGTATTCCGGAGCATTGTCGGCATTTTTGCGTACCAAGTACCCGCACGTCGTGTACGCAGCCGTGGCCACTTCATCCCCCGTGTTGGCCAAACTGGACTATGTGGAATATCACGAGGTCGTCGGTCGCTCCATGGGTACCAGCACCCATGGCCAAGCCTGCGTCGATCGTACGTAGCATGCCTGGGACAAGGCAAAGAGCGTTCGTCATTGTCACGGGTGGCGCACCTCCCTGTGCGGTCTGGCCGGCTTTTTTTTTTTTTTGTGTGTGTGTGTGTGTGTGTGTGTGTGTGTGTGTGTGTGTGTGTGTGTGTGTGTGTGTGTGTGTGTGTGTGTGTGTGTGTGTGTGTGCACCTCAGAAACCTGCCCATCCTGCCTCACCCGTGTCACTGCCATTGGCTGGGAGTAGAGATCAAGGGTGCGCTCAGCAAGGTGGATGCCATGCTCGCTGACAGCAGCCAATGGAATCAGTTGGCGCAGGACATGAAAATCTGCTCTGACACCGACCTGAACGTTGACCTGGACAAGCAGACCTTTCTCTCCAACCTCATTGGCAACATTGATGGTGCGTCGATCAAGCATGAACTCGTGGTGCTAGCTCGCTAGCTTGGCGAGAAGCGTGTCTGAATCAACAGCTCATGCTTTGTTTGGCATTGGGGGTTTCTTATGTTTTGTTTTGTTTTGTTCTTTGGGTTCTTTGGGGTGGACAGGCATTGTTCAGTACAACCTGGATGCCAAGTTTCAAGGTCGCCCTACCGTTCAGAGCATGTGTGATATCATGGCCCCCATTGAGCAAGACTATGATGCCTTTGTTGCTCTCAACGCGTGAGTTGATCACCGCCTGGCACCTCGCTTGCGATGTGCAGTGTGCCTCCGGTGCACGATTTCAGCTCGATCCCCTTTCGTGAAAGTATCGCCCCCTTCTCCTTCCCCCTTCCGCCCTTCTCTCACGGTCTGTCGATCATGGGTAGATATTTGCTGAACGCAAGCGATATGGAGTGCAATGATGGTAGCTACCAAAGCTTTGTGACCGACCTACGCAACACGTCGCTGAGCTCTGACTTTGCCGGCGGCACACGCCAGTGGATTTATCAGGTTGGTTTAAAAAGCCCCCTAAACCCCACGCCGCTTGGACACCAGGGTTGGGCCGGAGCTGGAATCTTGGAAGACACTCATCTCTTGTCGCACATTTTCCTGCAAATATAGACGTGCATGGAGTTTGCATACTTCCAGACGACCGATGCATCAGACCAGCCCTTTGGCGTTGGTGTACCCCTGAGCTATTTTGAACAACAGTGTGTGGATGGCTATGGGCTGCCCCCCGTTCCCAACGTCAACTGGACCAACGAGTTTTACGGCGGACAGCAGGTGGCAGGCACACGCATCATCTACCCCAATGGCTCGATTGATCCCTGGCATGCACTCAGCGTCACGTCCAATACCACCATCGAAGACACCCTGGCCATTTTCATCAACGGCACGGCCCATTGGTAGGTTTGACGCGGCCTCTGCTGGGACTGAAGAGTGCCGCGAACACCCCGCTGTTCTTTATTTTATTTATCGATTGATATTTTTTTTGGATGCGATCTCACCGTTTCCCCTATTGTCCCCTTGCTGTGCCAACTTGCCCCCGCCTTGATGCAGCGCCAACATGTACCCTCCCTCGAGCTCGGATCTGCCCGGTCTGACAGCCGCTCGCACCAGCATCCTCAACACCCTTCAAACCTGGTTGCACGCGTCGTCGTAAAAAGCTGACAATCACGCCAAGCGCAGCAGCGCGCAATTGATTTTCACAACAACAAACGCTTTTTGGCTGATAAGGGCCAACATTGGCCCCGAGGTTACCAAGAGGTCAAGTCGATGTCAGATCGAGGCTGAATCGGTGTTCTTGGAGGTAATCAAGAGGCCAATAGGAGGTATAACAGAGGTCGTTAGGGTGTCAGGGCGAGGTTGCTAAGCTCACAAGCTTGTTGGGTTATGAAGGACGAAGGCAGTTATGAAGGCGGTTATGCAAATCGTTGCGCGACGCATCACGTAACGCGCGGCAGCGGCATTTTTTTTCTTCTCCACTGCCTCCCGTTCTTGCCGCTCGTCTGCGCCTGTTCTCCTCTTTTGGCATCTTGCGACGACTTGGGAAGACCCGCGCTGATAACTTTTTGGCCAATCTTAAGTTCGCGTTCTTTCTCCACCACCTCGCTGGCTCTGGATTCCAGTCAAGCTTGTGTCAGCCGCGCCTTGAAGATTAGCGTGACACGCAAGCCCGCGACCATCGCCACCCCTGCCACTCTTGCCTCTTGTGGTGGTTGCTGGTGTTATCCCCCTTGACCGGACTTCGTCTGGCGGCTGTTGCGGGTGTCTAGCTGAACCGCAAAGCCGTGTGGACGACTGGCGCCCGCGTGACGACTAGCAGCACCATTCCCTCTTCGTGGACCGAGCCTCAACCTCACCACCCTTCGAAATGGCGGACCACAACGACAACCACTTCTCCTGCGGCAACGAGTTCAATCGAGTCAGCTCCGACGGCATTGCCGTCGTTGTCACTGGCCGGGGCCCTGCGTGCCTCGGCCAGTGCGACTTTCGCGGCCAACTCCACGACGGCCGCGCCGGCTCTGGCGGGCCCCAACTCGGGGCGCGACATCTTTAGCCCCTCAGCCTCCTCGGCTGCCCCAGCCGTCAAGTCTCTGACTGGAGCGACTGACATGGACATGGGCTTTGCCGATCTCGATCTGGATATGGATTTGGACATGCATATGGACGTGGATGCCCTCTTGGGCATTGCTCCTGCCATGCCCAAGGACGGATCGTCCAAAGTCGCCGCCGCCGACGACTATGGCCTGACTCAGGCGCTGCAAGCTTCAGTGGCGGCCGACACCGCACCCGCTGCATTGCCAATGCCGGAGGAGGTTAATCTACAAGCCCTGTGCAAGGACTTGGGTCTGGGCAACGAGCAACTTCCTCAGCTGACCCTTGAGGGAGCTGATGCCGAAGCGGACCTCAAAGGGTTTGAGGAGCTGCAGAACCTGAACTTTGAGGATTTGGACTTTGCCTTGCCGCGCTCGCTGTCAGTGAACGTCCTGTCCGCACCCGCCTCGGAGCTGGTGCACAACGAGGGCCATTTGGATGCCGTGGCACCCGCCGTGGACAATGCACATTGCCACGAAGCCTTCCGGCCCGTCACGGCCACGGCAGCGGCTGCTGCTGCCGCCGCCAAGTCGCTGCAGACCAAAAAGGCGCCCTCGACCAAGGTCAAGCGCCAAGCAGCCTCGACCAGCGCCAGTGCTGGCACACAGGACAAGGATGCCAATCGTGGCTCGCCAGCCAAAAAGGCCAAGTTGAGCAAGGCTGCCAAGGAACCCAAGGAAGTCAACCAGCGCGGTCAGCCGCGTAAGCGTCGCCCCAAGGTGGCTGTGGCTGAGCACCTCAAGGACGAGGCCTACCTTGCCTACCGTGAGCTTAACAATGAGCGAGCACGTCGCTGTCGCGAGAAGAAGCGTGAGGAGAAGCGCCAGGCATCCCGTCGTCTGCAGACGCTGGATGCTGAGAACGAGCGCCTCAAGGACGAGATGCACCGCCTGCAGGATGCTCTCAAGGACTTGGTCCAGGCCATGCAGGCACGCGTTGCCCAGGCCTATGCTGAGGAAGAGGTGCCTGAGGACATGCAGGCCAGCGTGCAGCGCGTTGCCAACACGACCTCGGCGCTCTGTGCCTCGTACTGACCCGAGGCTGCACCTGCCTTTCCGTTGCTCATCTTGCTGGGCTCTATTGCTTCTTATGTTCGCAACCTCGTTGAACTCTGCGTGCGGTTCCACCCTGTGCCAGCACCCGCATCCTAAATTTCTTTTTTTTTGGCGCATTTGTTGTTGTTGTTGTTGTCATGTCTATGTCTTTGTTGGTGGCGGGAGATGGCTTGGTTTTTCTCTGCCTCAACCCTTGCCCAAATTCAGTTCTGTCACTACTTTTTAAATTTCTTATCTTCGATCAAAACACAAACCACAAAACACCAAAAAAGTCCAAAAGTCGAGCTCGGCTCGTCACACCTCATTTGCAGCGCGTTCGCTTGTACTCTTCTCAGAAGGTTGTCCGGGTGGTGCGAAACAGCAGCCGAGCAGGAGCCAACGCCAGATTGTTCAAAGCACCGGGGACGTCTCGTACCAGCCCACCTAGACCTTGCAGGCTCGACTGCGTAGACGCGGCCAAAAAGTCCTGCATCTCAGCCAACGCTTCAGGGTCTGTGGCCTCTTGCAAATTCTCACGCAGCGCAGACAACCTAAAAAGTGTCCCCCCGGCAGCCCGACTCATGAGTGGCTGTGCATCTGATAAAAACAAAAAAGCACGCCAACACCCAAAAGTTGCCACTCACATGGGCGTTGAAGGATTGGCCAATAAGGTGGCCCATTTTGCCTCGTATTCTGTGAGCCAAAAAAAAGTCATGGGCAGAAATGAAAGTCGTGCAAACCAACATGCACCACAAGACATTGCAAGCATATCTGGAACGCACCCGCCAACAATTGGCGATATGTATGGATTCGCGGCGCTGCAGCCCAATACACTGCCTGCAATGGGCGGCTTAGCTCCAGTTGCTGCACTGCATGACGCACCACCGATACTTCCTCCGCGCATGCCACAGCCTGCAGGCATGCGCAAAGCAACAAGCGAGGAAAAAAAAAAAAAAAAAAAAAAAAAAAAAAAGTGAAACCACGCTTGCCGATGCCATGTACCATTCAGGATCCAGCAATACACACGTTCAAGGCGCTTCGGGCAGCCGGTTCCAAGTCGCTCGTCAAAGCCAATCGGAAGCGCGCATCAGCGCTCAACAAGGCCTCGTACGACTCCAGGCAACCTGCCAGGAGAACCGTAAAGGCTTGGACGTGCGGCTGAAATTGGGGCTCCGGGCGCAACCGCTCCCACGCGACTTGGGTAAAGTGGAGCAGAAAAGACTCAAGTCGCCGTCTATGAAATTTTTATGAGGTAGGTGAGGGGCAAAACCCTTGAGGACAGCCTTTGAGCGGCAGGCGGCTTCCCATGAAAGAGAAATACTCAACAGCTACGCACGGGAGCAGTCCTGCGGCACGGGTCGTTTCCTCCAGCAGCCGCTGCCAAAAGAATGTGTCTAACTGACGGTCCACAAGCTGCAGCCCCTGCCATAGCAAGGTCACTGGACATATGGCAAAGCGCTGGCAGACGCGCACCGCCAACTCAAAGCGCTCGTCCGCCACCAGCAAGCGTAGCGCGTCAAAGAGGCTGCGTATTGTACCCACGCCCGTCACAAAACCAGCCCCATACTGTGCTGCAGGGCGCCATCCATGCCGGCTGGCTTCTGCCCCGCGCGCCCCACCTGCCGTAGCTGATGATCGATCCTCTTGTGCAATCATGTCCACCAACGCCCAGAGCGTCTGATCCCCCAAGGCATTGGAAGAGCCCGCCCGTACTGTTGGCGCCGTCGCTAATGCGTCACCCAGCCTATGTCACCACCGCCAACTGTCGGTCAGAAGCGCCCGATACAATAAAAAAAGCAAACCACGGCATTCTCACAATTCGAGTTGCAACGAGGTTGCCGGTGGCTGCTCTGCATGCGATGCAGTCGGCTGGAGCAGCGGGTCTTCAACGAGAGCCAGGTTCCACTGTTGAACCACCAAATCATGCTGGCTCAACACCTGAGCCACGACCTCAGCCGTGCAACGCCGGTGCAGTTGTGCCATATAATAACGGAACAGCCGTCCATGCTTGGCCTTGGCCAGTTCGCCCACAATAACTGTTCAGGCGAGTTGTGAGCCGGCCAAGCTTTTTTTTCGCACTGGCGAAGCCTCCGTGGGCTGTAACTGCCTACCTCGATGGGTAGCCAAATCATGTGGCCCTATCACCAGGTCCCATTGCGCCTTGGCAATGGCCTCCAGTACGGTACGTTGCCATTGTCGCTCTGCCTCAATCTAAACCCGGCAGCGACGCCGCACCACATGACCGCGTCAGCAAAGTCCCCCCCACCGAAATCATCACTCAAGCATGCCGTGTCACACTGTATTGCGCCACACCAACGTACTTGCAGAGGCAAGTCGTGCTCGCAGTCGTCCAGAAAAGGTGAGCACAGGTCTGGCTCTTGCACCTCACCTCTTTTAGCCTCGGGTGCCCCTGGTCGACGGCGTAGTGCGCGAGGCTTTGTCTGGTCCAACGAGACCAAGTCGGCTTCGATGTCCATGTTATTGAGCCCAGCCACCCCTTGGCTCTCGCGCCACGGCTATGACAATCACCCCCTAGTCTAGGTCGATATGCAAGACACGCGAGCAACCAAGAGTATATAAATGTGGCCGTCTGTGTGTATATAAGTGCTTGTGTGCGGCTGACTCACATGTCAACCCGAAAGCAAGAGCACGTCCAGCGCTTGAAACTGACGTATTCATCCGACATCTCAGCAATCAGTTGCCGAACCGTAATCGTTACAAGCAGTTCGGACAATGTGCATACGTAGCGCCATAAGGGTGCTGAAGAGGTGTAGCTCGCAGAGAGAGTGTAAAGATGAAGCCGTGTTCAATTTGCCAAAGGTGACGCTTGCATGCTCGCCGAGTGAGGGCACACCCCCACACAACCAGATGTCACAACCTAACAAGATAACTGGAAACAAAAAAAAAGGCGGGGGGGGGGGGGGGGGGGGGGCCGGAAAGGGGCAAAAAAAAAAACCCCCCCCCCGGGTAAGGTTGGGGGCTTAACCCACACCCCCCCA